TGCGAAATGAACAATACGATTCATTAATAATACGTAGAATACAGGTTGACAACCCTTTATCCGAAATTCCGAAAACCGAAAAGCTCTAAAAACCGAAGTTTTTTTGTGGGGCTTTTTTTTTTTTTACAGGGATTAGCCCACCTGGGCATAAATCACTGACACATCAGGGCCTGGTGGGCGAAAATGTAATAGTAATAATAATTATAATCCAGAGTAATAATAATTATTCATAGTAAATAAGATTTTTAATTACAATAATGTACACCAAAATAAAATAATAATGATGACAATAATAATAATACTGTAGTAATAATAAAATATAATAATAAAATTAACAATAATAATAATAACAATAATACTGTAATAAAATAATAATAATAATAAAGAAATACAAGAATGAAAAAAAGATCAAAAGTGAGAAATGCGACCTAGACCTATGAATTATTATTACAGCATGATTATTATTACAATTATTATTATAATATTTTAGCTCCCCCCCCCAGGGCCCCGATGTGGGTCAGTGATCTATGTCCGAGTGGGCTAAAAAAAAAAAAAAATATTCTGAAAACCGAAAAATTCCAAAATCAGAAATGCCTCTGGCCCCAAGGATTTCGGATAAGGGATTGTCAACCTGTATTAAACACCAAAGAGGAGATGAGACGGCATTGTTTTCGTGTTTACACCTGTGACAATGGTTCTACATATGAAACTGATGAAAATAAGTCCCTGGTTATAGCTGCAATAAAATAATGGAAAGAAAGAATATGAATGTTTTAATTAATGTTATTGAATGTAAATATGTGTGGGTGGTTGTTGGAGGGTGTGTTTGTGTGTGATGTAGGGTGTGTGTGTGTGATGTAGTGTGTGTGTGTGTGTGTGTGTGTGTGTGTGTGTGTGTGTGTGTGTGTGTGTGTGTGAGTGTGTGTGTGTGATGTAGGGTGGGTTTGTGTGTGATGTAGGGTGGGTTTGTGTGTGATGTAAGGTGTGTGTGTGTGTGTGTGTGTATGTGTGATGTAGGGTGGGTTTGTGTGTGATGTAGGGTGTGTGTGTGATGTGTATGTGGGTAGGGTCGCATGGTCAGTCCCCCTCACCTTCCTCACTCAAGCGTTGCTAATTAAGATAGGGAGGTGAATTTGATACCATAATGATCCTTAATAAATTCTCTACGAAACGTTTCCAATAAGATATCCTTAAACGAAATATTTCTACATGATATAGTGATGGGAATCCCATTGTTTAATATATAAAAAAATGCAAGAAATGTTGATACAGGAGTCAGTCAAATCAGTTCTAATTTAGTTAGACATACCATTTATTATCAAAATAATCCTGAATACTTTATCTAAAGGTTTGGTTAAATAAATATATTTAAAAAACAAAAGCTCTATATGATACGGGCGTGAATAGAGCTATGTTACTTTTATCCTCCTCATCACTGATCAGCTCATTAGTTGTCAAGTGTTCTTGTATACAGTACATTGTACTAAAGCAGATTCCGTCATCTTTAGCCCAGAATAGGCAGACACTTCACTCAATTGACTGTAATACATAACTAATCATGTCTTAACACTTGTGATGAAGGTTGGGTGTGAGATTATTGGGTCACATTACTAACCTTTAGGGGAGGGGGTGGTGCTGTCACCTTTACCTCCTAATGGACCCTTCTGCCTCTGGCTGGTAGTTGGGGAGGTGGAGGTGTTGACAGCCAGGAGGGGAGATTAACGCTTACTCAAGGATTATTAATGGCAGAGGGGCTTAATTTTTTGGCTTATAAAATGTCACTGACTTGACTTAGGAGAATATAACTTGCATTGCTGGAATTCTTGTAAGACAACGATTAATTTAAGTATAGACATCCCTTAGTTTGCACCAGATATAATAATTTTAGTAATTAACTTAGTACAATTGAGTGCAGGTTGTGATAATTTATGTGGTTGCAGTTTCGAAGCTTGTGACATCACTAGTGTATAATGCATCTCCATATGCCCTGGTTTATATATTGATGAGTAGTCTAAGTGCAAAATTAGCCCTGTCGAGCTATCATGTATCAATTAATTTTAAAATAGAAATTATAAGTTAAAATTTTCTAAGACAATGGTTTAGTAGTGCTGTTAATGTTGTGTGCTGTGTGTGTCTCTCTCTCACGCCATATTTTAAAATGTTATATAACGTAAGTTGAAGGGATACAACTTTGCTCATTTATACTTATATCTGTACTTATCACAATCTCTCTAAAAATACTTTAGATTTTGTGTCTATTCGAGACATCTTCAGGTCATGAGACCCACTAATCCCTCACCCAAGAAAGGGTGACCTGACTATTTTTCATTGTTTCCTATACTGTTCTCCCAACTCTACCCACTAATTCAAACTCTTTGATTATCTCACTTCTTGCCATGAGTCGTTGCTAACCACACACCACAACACCAAGATCCTCTACCTAGGGGACTTCATTGTACACCACAGTGAGTGGCTTGGTTTTGCAATGGATGACCCAGGTGGAACCGACGCACTCTCCTTTTCCTTATTTAATGATCTGGAACAAACAATTAAACACCCTACACGTGTTCCAGTTCGATACGATCAACTTACTAACATTCTTGATCTTTGTTTGACCTCTAACCCCTCACACTATTCATACTCAATTTCTGCACCCTTAGGGTCTTCTGATCACAATCTTATTTCTATTAAATCAAATTGGGCACAACCACCTCCCCCACCCCACTCTAAACGCCAACTCTGGCACTATCGGAGGCCAAACTGGCAATCCCTGCAAAATTCTTCTCTGACTTCCCTTGGGATGAATGTTGCTTTTCCACTCGGGACGCCTCGGTAAGTGCTGACAGCATTGCCGGGGTTATACAGGGTGGTGTGAGTGCATTTATCCCATCTTCTACCAAAACTTTCACTTTACATCATGGTTTGATCGCTCCTGCTTTCTTGCATGTAGGGAGAGAGATAGGGCGTATCAAATTATGAAACTTTCTCCTTCTCCTGCTACCCACTCCTCTTTCATTACTTCTAGGAATCAGTGTAAGGCTATTCTTCGTAGGGCAAAGCGGAATCTTATAAAAAGGAAGACCGCTGACCTGACTAACTCTTCTTCAAGCAAATCCTTCTGGTCTTTAACCAAATCATCTGTAATAACATCAGCACTCCCTCTTTTCCGACCTGATAGCTCTAAAGCCAACTCTCCCCCTGATAAAACCAATCTCTTTGGCACCTCATTCTCCTCTAACTCCACCTTAGATGACTCCAGCTCTATCCCTCCTACTCCTGCTTCTCCTACTGAACCTGTGCACTTTCCTATAATCTCCACTCATAGGGTTGTTTGTGTGTTATCCAGGTTGGATGTGAGTAAGGCGCATGGACCAGACTATTGCCCCATTGCCTCACTTCATCCCTGTTAAAGAATTTTTAAACTATCTCCCCCACTTTGTTCTCTAATTTCTAGTTTCCTTGAGAACCGATCCATGGCAGTTGTTGTCGAGCGATCGATCTCTCCCCATTTCCCTACCAATAGTGGTGTCCCACAGGGTTCTGTTCTTTCACCTACTCTCTTCCTTCTTTTTATCAACGATTTACTTCCCCCTAATTCTCAAACTAGATCTGTTTCTAGAGCTGATATCATTACATCTATCAATGCGGATCTGTGCAGCATCTCCGAATGGGGAGGTAGAAACTAGGTTAAATTCAATAGTAATAAAACTCAGTATTTACCAATTACACTTTATAAATTAGAAAATTTCTCATCAATTACATTTCAGGACGCTATCATTCTGCCAAATTCTAAAATAGATATGCTAGGCCTCACCATTTCCTCTAAAATGTCATGGAAGCCACACATCCACAACATTGCTAAAGCTGCTTCACAAAACCTGGGAATGCTGTACAGATGCCATAGCTACTTCACTCCTGAGCAGTTGCTTCAAGTATACAAGGGATTCATTCATCTTAACGTGGAGTACTGCTCTCATATCTGGGGTGGCTCTTCTTCTGTCCAACTGTTAGATAGGGTAGAATCAAAGGCAGTTCGTCTTATTAACTCTCCTCCTTTAGGAGATAATCTTTCTTCCCTTTCTCTTCGCCACAATGTTGCTTCACTCTCTCTCTTTTACAGGTACTTTAACAGGCAATGTTCGGTGGATTTGGCCTCCTGTGTACCACCACTCGTCTTGCCCGCGGTGCCCACCGTTTCTGTGTGGATGTCGTTCACACTAGAATTACCCATTATAGTACATCCTTCTTTCCTCACTTAGCCAAATTGTGGAATGCTCTGCCTTCTCCTGTGTTTTCATGTTCTTACAATCAGTTTCACTTCAAAAAGCTGGTTTTCCAGCATCTTCATGGTGTAGATTAATATAGTCTTTACCTCTTCTATTTTTAATTTCTTTTAACTCTTATTTTTTTGCCACCCTAGGACCCATTGTGGGTCAATGACCTGTGCCCAGGTGGGCTATTCCCCACAAAAAAAAAGTCCACATCACCCCCCTTGACTTTTTCCTTTGGGACCATGTTTAATGTGAAGTGTTTGTTCCACCAATGCCAACATCTTTGGAGCAGTTGAAGAACAGGATCCAAAATGCTGTTCTTAAATTTAATGTTGATATGCTAGAAAATGTATGGAGAGAACAAGAATATAGTTTTGATGTTTTCAGAGCCCCAAAAGATGCACATATTGAAATGTCATATTGAAAAAAATAACTTTAGACACTGCCTTGCAATTGTGTATGTTACTTTTTGCTGTACCACTGTTTGGGTTTTTTATAATAAATGTTTGAAATCAGGGAGATCATTTGTAGTCACCTTGTACATGGCCCAAATGCAGAGAAAACTTTACATTCCATTTATACCATCACTCACTAGACCAAGAGTTAACAGTATACAGTACACCCAAAACACACTGTTAATATCATAAGACCCCTTTGTACACATGACTATATGATATAAAAAGTACAATACCTGTACAGTGTTTAATCAATGAGAATTTAGGAACTTACATCTTTGATATGTGGGTACCTCTTCTTTGTCTCCATACATAAAGATTTAAGATCACTCTGTAGAGCATCAAGCATCTTGGCTGCCTTCCCTTCACTGGTTGTGGCAGTCATAACTGATGGTCTTCACTGAGACTGGGCCTCAGCTAACTCAATACCACGACCACAATTTGTAAACTGTGGTTATCCCTCCACTCCTGTGAACCACATCAAATTTTAGTTGTTAATTCACATGATTCATGAATATAATATTCTATACAGTAGTTTGTCTTTTATATTTGTTATTATTTGTTAGAAATTATAAAAGCACAATCTCCAGTACTTAAACTATACAGTCATTCCCTGATTTACAAAAGGATTTCATTCCTGAAAAAACTTGTGTAAATCTATTTTTCATAATTTTAAACACATTTTCCCATAGAATGTCTTTAGGAAAGCTGAGATTCATTCCTACATAAAATTCTACAAAAGATCTTAAAATGCAAAAAAATGCTAAAATAAATATTTTTTTATGTACAGTATAGTCTTCATTTACGCAGTCAATTGAACCAGTGGAGGTCCGCGTAAAACGAGAAACACGTAAACGAAATAACAGAACATATGGGATTAATTGAAATAGAGACTGGGCCGACCCCCAAACTCCACTTTTTCTGACACAATACGTATGTTGTAGTAAAAATAACATCTTAATTTTATGATAGCATGCACACACAATTAATATTTAAGAGAAATACAGTCACCGGTTAATGTCCATTCAAATAATGGACTCAACTCCTCTTCCCACGCTCGCTGGCTCCTGCCTCTCTGAGAAATGTTTGGGTGAAAACACTAGGCTTGCATGTTTAGTAATAAATAATACCTCAGACTAAAGTTAGGATAATATAATTGACATTGCTGGATTCCTTGCAAGACTGCCAATAATTTGAATATAAACGTCATATATTTTGCACAAAAGGTAAAATTTTTGCTCTTTCTAATAAAATTCTTATATTAGATCTAAAATTTGTATGTCTAATGCAAATTTTAGGATGTTTATATTTAAATTAATCACCATCTTATAAGAATTCCAGCAATGTAAATTATATTCTGGCCGGGTAATTTCTATGAATTTAATGAGCTAAAAACAAATATCTTCAGTAAATAAATAAATTCTACTTCACCCGCGTAAATGATGAAATTTACCGCATAATTAAAACATTTCATTCTGGCAAGGTGCCGCGTAAATCCAGACTATACTGTACATTACACAATTTTTATATGCCAATAATAAACATAGCATATCAAATGCATGTACAGTAGCTAAAAAAAGTATCTGACAGGGTGGGTCCGATGACTTCCGGAATTGTACGTACAACTCGTGATGTCTCGGGAGGGTTGGTATGCATGTCTTCACCCACCGCCATTCAGTATGCAACACAGTGGGTGAGGTGACATGTAGGAATAAAATAAACGGTTAAGTGATTACTATCACATAGTATAAGTAGACAAAATGCATATCCCAATACCTATCGTACGTGGTCTTATATTGTTTCACACAGAGTATGCACGGATAATTCTTTTTAGCTACTGTACATGAAGCACCGTACAGTACCCTGTACTGTATAGTAATAAGAATTTAATACCTGCACTTACGAGAAACTGGACAAGATTGGAAACAAAGTAAAAAGCATGAAACAATAAGCTAACATCTAGAATAATAATTACATTATACAGTACTGTACAGCATTTAATTGGAGATACAATAACTATGTTCTCTAGACAAAATCCCACTCCTGATCCCTGATGAGTTATTGTCACCCTATATTTCTGTTGCTTTGTTTTCATGGCACATATGCTACGGCAAAAAAATATTCAACACGGGCATATGCCAACCAGCCAGGCATCTGACTCATCTCAGCTGATGCTCCACTCTCTCTCTTATATTGCTGACAACATCTACACCGCCAAACATTCCTTCACTTCCAAATTCCACACTTTCTCTTACAAACTCTTATATCTTCATTGTACTGTACATAATAGAACATGAAATTCAAGAATATTTTCTTTTATTTCATTTGCAACACATTACTTGAGAGTGAATGAAGAGAAATTGAACAATCGGCAACTGGCCGAGTGCCTGTCTGTGGTGGTGGAGATGGAGTCTACAGTACTTGTCTCCAGTGAGTTTAACCCCTACGCCCCGAATGACATACCCAAGGACGACCCACATGGTTTCTCTGGCGCTGTTGTCAAGAAACTTATGGACCGCTACTTTGGAGGGAATCACATCCTCTACACGGACAATTATTATACCTCTCCTGCCCTGTCCAAGTTCCTACTTGAACATGACACCGGTTCTTGAGGGACTGTACGAAAGAACCGGAAACACTGGCCCGTGTTTACTAGTAAACTTGCCCGAGGAGAGATCCAGCTGAAACAAGCAGACAAGATGCTTGCAATACGCTGGCAAGATAAGCGTACTGTACAAATGCTGTCAACCATTCACAAGGGTGAAATGGTTGATAGTAGAAAAAGGGACTGGACCTCAGGAGAGGTCATGAAAAAACCTGACGCTGTCGTGGACTACAATGTCAACATGCGCCTCGTGGACGAGAGTGACATGCAGGTTGGCGCAATTGAGTGTGCAAGGAAATGTCTCAAGTGGTACAAGAAGATGTTCCTACACCTCTTGGACATCTCCATCCTGAATGCATACAACTTGTACCTTGTACAAACTGGGAAAACCCTCTCTTTGGATTTTTCAGAAGCAAGTGATAATGCAACTCCTGGAGAAAGATGGCATCATTGTGGCAGTTGTACCACGACGTCACAGCCAAGCAGGCCTACCTGACAGACTGTTTGCACGTGACTGGGTTGTTCGTCAAACCATGGACTTCCTACCGACTGGTCCAGGAGGTAATAAGGGGGTAAAGGCGTGTTACGTCTGTGCTAACACCACAAAGCGCGCAGCTAAGTGTAAGGACGTGACGACGTGGTGCAAGGAATGTGACGTTGGTCTCTGTCCACCTTGCTTCGTGGAGTACTACTTTCGGAAGACATTCTAAAACAATGTGACACATGCTTGTAAATAATAGTATAAGTGTATTTGTAAGGAACAAAGTAACATATTTGTGGAAAAGGTACACAGTTGTATGCATTCACTCGTCTCTACCCACAGGCGCTGGCAGACAGCTAGCTAGGCATCAGATTAGCACCAACACCACCACCTCACCTCCTCCTACGCACGGTCGGAAGGAAGCTTCTACGTAAGACCAAGAACCAGGCGGCATTCAGTAGTTACACCAGAGTTTGTTGCAATCTTCCCGTAAGTCATTGCAGCGTTTGTCACAGCAAGTGGGAGCATCTTGTTCAGCCGTTCACAGGGCTGTCAAACGTTTAAAGTTACCTTTCGTACAGAGTCAGGGTAGTGCAAGAGCTGCGCCCACTGGACACAGACAAGCGTGTTCACTAATGCCGTTAGTTCAACAGGTTCACACACAACAATGTCACAGTGCTGAACATGACATTTTTCACGGACGAGGCCTGGTTTCACTTAAACGGGTACGTAAATTCTCAAAATACACCGTGACAAACACCTGTGGAAAAAGGCGACTGGTACTGAGCCTGCATAGCGCGAGTGAGAACGATGACCTTGAAGAGAATGGGAGGCGGGTGGGAATTCCATTTGCTCAAACACTTGTGCTGCCAAAAATTGACGGATTTAAACCTTAGAATCCTCTTAACTGCGGGGACTTTTAACGTGTATGTCCACAATTATTTGACCACTTAAGTGCGAAACCACTCATAATAAGAACCCTCTGTACTGTACAGTCAAAAAAGGATGAGAGATCAATATACAGTAAGTCCACGTATAACGTCGTCCCACTTAACGTTGTTTAGGTACTACGTCGCTAAACTTTAGATACCAAAAATTTGGATACTGTCGTTTAGCGTATTCACGGACTACAGTACTTTCTACGGCGCTCGTCTGGCCGTGCTACGCTCTCTCAGCTCAGAACGCTACCCTTGCTAGTGGAACATCACAGCATCCCCAAAGGATGCCGGGCCATTCTTTGTTACGATTTCACCTCATTCGTGTGTGCTTAAGTGCTTTTGCTCTAAAACTGTACTCTAACCATTCAAAATGACTTCCAAGCACCCATCAAGTGCTACTGCTGCTAGTGTAGTGAAGAGGCAACATAAGACCATTACCCTTGCTATGAAAATGGATGTATTAACCCGATTTGAAAAAGGGGAACGTGCTGTGGACATAGCCGCTGTGCTTGGTCTAACCCCCACAACGGTGCGTACTATCCGGACCAACGCTGACAATATTAAGATTAGTGCTGGAAGTGGTTCTTCTCCGAGTGCTACTGAGACAACTCGTAGTAGAAGCACTGTCATAGAAAAGGTAGAAAAGATGCTGGCAATGTGGATAGAGGAGCAGAATCAACACAATGCCCCTGTGAGCCTTATGATTATCCAGCATAAGGCCAGATCCTTATTTATCGACTTAATGGCAGAAGAGGGTGAAGGATCGAAGGAAGAGACCTTTACGGCCAGCTGAGGATGGTTTCAACGATTTAAGCACCATTATAACTTCCACAATATTAAGATGACTGGTGAAGCTGCTAGTTCAGATTCGGTTGCTGCCGAGACATTCCTGCCAGAATTCAAACGGATTATCCAGGAAGGAGGCTACTCATCGAACCAAGTCTTGAATGTGGATGAAATTGGTCTCTTTTGGAAGAGGATGCCTGAGAGGACCTATATCTCCAAGGAGGAGAGAAGAGCACCAGGTTTTAAAGCGACAAAAAGACAGCTTGACTCTGCTGCTTGGCGCGAACGCTGCCCGACCAGCATAATATGTAAAGTACTTGAGAGTATTATCAGAGATGCTGGGATGGAACATCTACTACGAAACAACTTTGTAAAGGATTGCCAACACGGTATTATGCAGGGGCGCTCCTGCTTAACACAACTGCTCAGGGTATTGGATATTTGGACCCATATTCTGGAACGGGGTGGTAATATCGACAATATATACCTAGATTTTGCCAAGGCTTTCGACAGTGTACCCCATGAAAGGCTGAAAATCAAACTGGAAGGGTACGGAATTCGGGGAAATGTCCTAGCATGGATGGAAGACTTTCTACATGACCGCAAGCAGTGTGTGGTGATTAATGGCATGAAATCGTCATCAGTACCTGTCACAAGT